AGGTTTATTTTTGATGAGTTTCTTTAGTTTGAGTTCTATCTGGCCCACTAATGGGTTTTGGTCCAATGAGACGTCCGCTCCTGGGAAGGTCTTCGCCGAAGTCAAGCTGTTCTTGAATCTTTTGTTAATGAGAATAAAGTCTATTTGGTTGCTGATGATATTGCTGGCTGTATCTGCAGGTGACTTCCACGTATAAAGTCGTCTCGGGGGATGTTTAAACCACATGTTAGCAATGGTAAAATCTTCTTCCCGGGAAAATTGTATGAGTCGGTCTCCTCTTTCGTTTTTCTCGCCTAAGCCATGTTGTCCCGATGTCTTCTACACTGCTTTTGCCAACTTTGGCATTGAAATCACCCATGATGATGGTTAGCTCCTTCTTCTTGGTGTATTTTAGTGCTTTTTGTACAATTGCGTAGAACTCCTCGATATCCTCTTCTGGTTTTTCTGATGTTGGAGCGTAAATTTGAACGATGTTCGTATTAACGAGTCTGCTTTGCAGCTTCATCAGAATGACCGTGTCAGAGAGAGGTATCACGCTGATCACAGTCCCAGCGACCTTTTTGCTCAGAATCACCGCTACGCCATTCCAGTGATGTGGTTTGTCGTTTCCCGCATAGTATACCATATGCTCATCCACACAGCACTATCCCGAGCCTGGCCATCTCATCTCGCTGATTCCCATCACGTCGATATTTAATCTTTTCATTTCTTGAATGGTGTTGTGTTATCCCTTCAAACATACTTCGAACATTTCAAGTACAGATTTTTTGAACGTTCCACGTGCACACTTTATCTTTATTAGTGTTTAAATATTGGTAAGGATTTCGTGGGTTGACGACCTGATTTTACGGTACACAAAAACAAATATAAAGATTCATAAGAAACCAACGGAAAGAAATGGCAGAATTGAACGAATACAATAACATACCAGCAAACGAATGGGAAACATACCTGACAGAACTGTTTGAAAGAAAGGAAAATAATAATCAACACAATAACGTACTTGAATTAAGACACGAAATAGAAATAAGTTTTGAAGAAGTAGAGATAGCCATAAAATCACTCAAAAATAAAAGTCACCAGGACCAGACGGAATAACCAATGAGCTTCTAAAACACGGAGGAGAAAGTATAACCCTAGAGATGACAAAACTTGTAATAAGCAACAAAATCAATAAACTAACAATTTTATCAGATGAACAAGGATTTAGATCCGGAAAATCCTGCGTAGACGCAGTATTTGTACTAAGACAAATCTCAGAAAAGGCCATCGAGTATAATTAACCAGCATATATATGTTTTATAACTCTGACAAAAGACTTTCGATCGCATCCAAGTCGAAGACGTCTTACACCTACTGTATAAAAAAATATCAATTAATATTATACAAACCATTCAAAACATCTACTTCCATAATCGAATGCAGACAAAGATAAATGGAAAACTAACAGAGTGTAGGTATACCAGTACAAAGCGGAGTCAGACAGGGTGACTCGTTGAGCCCACTTCTCTTTAATATAATAATGGACGAAATAATACAAGCAGTACGTAAAGGTAATGGTTACAGAATGGGGAATAAAGAAATCCAAATATTATGTTATGCAGGCGACGCCGCATTAATCGCCAAAAGAGAAGACGAGCTCCAAAGATTAACACACATCTTCTACACAGCAGCCGAGATAATATCAGCAAAAGAAACCAAATGTATGATAACATCTAAATACCCACTACCATGTAAAATCGAAATTGATGGGAAAATAATAAAGTAGGAAGCAATTACTGGGAATAGTTATAACTAGTCACTGAGATGTTAAATAAGTACGACAACAAAGCTTAAAAGAAAGGAAAGCGGCGGATCTCTTAATGACACAATCTGGAAGAACAAACAACTAGGACAAGACATAAAAACAATCATTTATAAAGCAGCAATTAGACTTATATTAATATACATGGCGGAGACAAGACCTAACACATCTAAAATGAGACGACTACTAGAAACAACAGAGATGAAAATACCTCGACAAATATCAGGAAAACGTCTGTTGAATAGGAAGAGAAACAAAAACATAAGGAGAGCATGCAGTATACAAGACATAAATGGATGGGTGACAAAACGGAAACAGGAGTGGAATAACACATTAGTAGAATAGCAGAGGATAGGATAGTACAAATAGCACGAGATAAATCACCAAATGGACGAACTATTAGCAAAACAAAAAAAAGATGGTGTGATAATTTAAACAATTTAGGAGGCTAATATTAAGGAAGAAACGGGCTTTAAAGCCTACATACAAGAAGGAAGAAGAAGACATTTCTACAAAAATCCAGTGAATTTAAAACAGCAACGTTTCTGTGCCTCATTGTGTCTATCTAGTAAAGCTTTCGACTTGGTGGAAGATGTGACAGATCCTGGTCAGATTGAAATGGGAGTGCTGTTTCACCTGGTACTGATACAAATTCTGTATAATGACAAATATGCCAGAGGGTAAAATGTCTCACAATCAGTGTGTGAGGTTTTTTGCCCTTTTCTCTCCTTCGGTGTCATATGTGGTTATCCCCCTAACGTTGGCAATTACGTTGTCGAGTTGTTCACGGTCTTCAGTTACTTGGAAAAGTTGTAAGGCACTTCGTATTTCTATGCAATCGCGAATGTTCTTGAACCATGACATTTGCTTCCTTCTAATTTCTCTGCGGCCCTCGATTTTCCTTTTCATGATAAGCTGAAAGTTTCTGTATAGGTATCCTCTAAGAACATATCCTACGTATAAAGTCTATCTTTCTTCAGCCTTAAGTAATCTAACTTTGGACATAAGCCTCTCCCAAATCAATCCAGTGTCTTCTATTTTGGGCCACTTGCTTCCAGTTGTGTCCTCCGATCTTCTTAATATCATCAGCCCATCTCATTTGTGGTCTTCCTCTGCTTCTCTTTCCTAACCATGGCCTCCATTGCTGTATTTCGTGCTTCCATCTCTTATCCTTCAGTCGGGCATTATGTCCTGCGAAGCTCCAGTTTAATTTGGCAGCATGTTCTCCTAAGTCTTTTACTTTGGTTTTGCTTCTAATCCATTTGTTTGTATTTTTGTCTATAAGTGTCACCCCGAGCATTGATATTTCCATCGCTCTTTGTGCTTTTACTATTTTATCCATATTGGACTTGGTGAGTGTGTGGTGTCTGTGAACCATAGGTAAGAATAGGGAGGATACACTGACTGAATTTTCGGATTTCGCATTTCGGATTTCGAATTTTGGATTTCGGATTTGGCATTTCGGAGTTCAAATTTTCGGATTTCGGAGTTCAAATTTGCGGATTTCTGATTTCTTATTTAGGATTTCGGAGTTCAAATTTTTGGATTTCGGAATTAAAATTTTCGCATTTCGAATTTCGGATTTCAAAGTTCAAATTTTCGGATTTTGGATTTTCGGATTTCGAAGTTCAAATTTTCGTGTTTGGGATTTCGAATTTCGGATTTCCGATTTCGGAGGATATTCTGGTTTTCAAATACTGTTCTATTTTAGTGCCTTTCAAGATCCAACTCAGTTTTCCAAATACTGCCCACGCTAATCTTATTCTTCTGGTAATTTCGGCAGTTTGATTGTCTTTGTTAACTTTCATTATCTGTCCCAGGTAGATGTATTCGCTTACTGTTTCTAAATTTATATGTCGTTCAACGTTATTTCTGTAACAAGTCCAAGTGTAAATAGCTTTGGTGAGATAACATCTCCCTGGCGAACTCCTCTGTTGATTGGTATAGCTTTGGTTTTCGCATCAATTTGTATTTTCATTGTAGCTTTCTTGTGAATATTGTGTATGAGCATTCTGTATCGGGAATCTATCCTGTAGTTGTTCATAGCTCCCTCTATTGCCCAAAGTTCTATGGAGTCGAATGCCTTTTCATAATCAACGAAGCCTATCCGGTATGAAATCTGTTAATACTCCCAGAATATCTTGTTAAAAAAATGTTTTCTAATATAAGATGAGCAGAAGCAAAAAGATTATTTGTCTAATGCCATCTCTCTCTCACACACACCAACACACACAAGATGAGCAGAAAAATCCTTCAAATCGATGAAAACGACGTTTAATACTTCGAATTGTTTTACCTAAGACCAGTATACAATTTTACAAAGTTAAACAGAAGAAAATTTAGAAAACGAACGTGACCGTACTGGAATAAACTAAGTTTTTCATTCTAAGCACGATCGAGAAATATATGCGAAACTTCAAAACTTTGTTAATTAGAGCTTCAATTAAAATAAGACCGCCACGGCAATAATAGTAGCTATTCTCTTCGGAACTTGTTTTGTTTAGAACTCGCAAGAAAATTTAATATTTTATAATTTTAGAAGCATTGTGTAGGGAGTAAAGTTATATCGAAGAAATATAAATAAAACAGAGAAGTTAGAATGTGGCCAAAATATCAACATGAAAGTTTAGCTTTGGGATTTTCGAAAATGTACTGAAGTATAGTATTTATTTTCCTGTGAATACACGAAGAAATAGACGCACTTATCAAAAAAGAGTCGAAAGAGTTGTACCCTCAGATGCAAAAAAAAAACGCGACGGAGAAAATTTTGGTCAAATTCAAAGTATTTCAGTTTCCTTTATTTTTAGCCCTATTTTGATTATTTTTTTAAGCACACTATGTATAAATTTATAAATTTTAATTTAGTATAGTGAGTTTCTTAAAAAAAAAGTATGTACTTTAAAAATCATATTGAATTTGGCAATATTAATAATAGTGAAAGAGACTGATTATTGCAGAAATTCAGTTCTGCATTTTATGGGAAGTGCAGGGAAAACATTTTATTATAACAACGATTCTTCTTGAAATTACGGTAAACAAAGGATGAATCTGAAATATAATGTAACACCAACCATTTTAATATAAACCTTTATGTATGTAAAAAAATTAAGTATCAAGTATACATTTTACTTTTTATAAAATACTAGTTTTTACTTTTTAAACTTAAATCTAATCTAGGTGAACAAATAGGACTCACTGTTTCATTAAAGCTGTTCTTGGGCAGACATTCACAATTTTATTATTATGAGTGATACTTCTTAAGCCCTGTTGCCATGCCTATCATTTGCAAGAAGCCATGCAAGAAACAAAATGCCAAATTTCATTCACATACACTTTCGCTGTGACCTTAATGTAATGGTTATTATCTCAGCAATTAATTAAACAAATATATTTTTTAAGTATCTCGACTGAAACTATTTTCATTTCTAAATTTGAAATAAATAATTCCTATTGAACACTTAATTTTTGTTTGACTATTGTCTTTAGGAACGTATTGTTTTTTGATTAAACCAATAAAAGATTTTAAAATAGTTCAGTAGCAATATCTGAAGAACTACATACATTTTGGGCCACAGTAAGTAACTCGCTCAACATATCCAGGGTAGAAAACCAATACCCGAGGATATTTAAATATTCAGCTGCTATGAGCTGCACTAAATCATGCAAATTTATTATAAGTATCTGTTATTAAGACAAAACTTCTTGACAAAACTGTGTCAAGAGTCAGAGGCAAAGTCATTTGCCCCTGTCATTGCTGTCACACTTTCCTGTAACATTTGGTTTCTTCTTTGCCTACTTTTTCTTTCAAATTTCCCCTTCAGCCTTCCATTAATTGCTTAACTTGATGGTATATTGCTTCAACTTCTAACACACACATTATTGGAATGTCCAGTCTCTGCATTTGTAGAAGCAAACTTTTTAGTCTACCCGTGTTATGAAGTGTAAGCACAATACAGGTAAAATACTATAAAAGAGAGGTTAAGTCTTCTCTTGTTGCTGTGTCTAAGAAACCTAATGCAAAAAGAGCAAGAAATATAGAATCATTAAGAAAACGTGTAACGCTAGCTGCCGGCTTGTCATCTCACCGCATAACTTCCAGCTACCACTACCATCAATGCGCGCTGGAGATGGAACATCGGCAACGTCCACTGCAACAGAGAACCGAGTTCAAGCTGGAGTACTGATCTGGTAGCAGCTCCAAAAATATTCCACAAAAGAATCTATGGAAAATGTCCAGAAGTTATCGTTTATAAATTTCCAATTGTGCTTGTTTTTGTCCCTTGATTATGTTGAGTACTAAGTTATTTTAGCCAAAAGTCTATTGATCTCATTCCACTTTTTAACGAATATATACGGCCAATATCCGGAACACAATTTATTATATGATTATTTCGAGAGATCAAGTTAGCATTCGATATTATTGTGGGTCATCGATTAAAATTGCAAGAATTGCAGGAAAAAGCTATTTAAACTCACTGCTGAAATAATAACCATTATGAAAAACAGTTGTTAAAAAATAAAAAGACAACATGCTGTTTGGTCGTTAAAAAATGCATAAAAGTTCGTGTTTCCTCGCTGAAATTATACTAAAAAATGTATGCTTTCCTATAGTTATTTATATTCAACTTAGGTGACACTGAAAATTAATTAAAAGTTTTGCAGGCATTGCATATTATAATTTATTTTTCAACTACGCATGACCTCCACGAAAAGTTTTAGCTCAATTCCAACACACGAGGGAATGTTTTCCAGGTTTTTGTAAATTAATTCTTTTGTCGTTTGGGGATTACGGATAATTATTTGAGAAGCGCTCAGATGAATTTACTGTATTTAAAATTTATTAAAATTATATATTAATAACTGGTATGTATACGTCAGAACAAAGATATGGACACATAGAAAATTAACAAAAGGATTAGCAAATGCTCCAGTAGTGATAGGCTACACACAACAAGAGGCTAACACAAGAAATAAGAAAAAGACAATACAATAGACAAAATATGTAACGATGAAGTGGAACTGGATAAAAATCATATATAGTGGGCAACAAGTATCATGTAATAGATTCCGATATTAAACAAAAGAAACTGATGCTGACCAGCTATAATATCAGCAAAGAAAGACAGTAAAACCTATTTCTTGCACATATAAATGTTCTGCATCAAAACCGTGCAGAAAAGATCTTAGATCAAGATCTATACAATCATCTTAGACAAATAATCCAGTCGAGATCTGTTTAAAAACACAATGTAGTGAGGGGGGGGGAAGCTTATTTTTTGTAAAAATGTCTTGATTATGTTCCAGCTGAAAAACTAATGGGAACATCAAGAAAACATTTATTACGAAAAGTGCCAACTCTACGAAAAAAATGTATTACAAGAAAATTGTTCAACCAGTAAAAATCTTCAAAACGTAAAAAAAGTATTATTTATATCTTCAAGTTAAAAAAAACTTCAGTGCGAAAAATAGATGTAAAATAACGTTGTGAAAATTTGCTCAATGGTAATCTGAAATTCTTTAAAGTTTCTGAAAATTTAATACGATTTTTTTTGCATTAAAACAAATGTTATAGCTCCGTCGCCAAAGAACTACGTATCTTAGAAAGCAGAGTATGCGCCACTTGGCTTGATTGGTACTGAAGTTGGTGACATCTCATGCTAAACTGAATTTAATAGAACTTTATGCTCCTAGGTGATCTCAATGCAAAGATTGAAAAGGGACATAGCGGAAAGTATAGGAAACTATGGTCTGGGAAATCGAAACGAGAGAGGAGACCGTCTGTTACAATTATGTCAAGAGCAGAATTTGATTATTACAAATACATTTTTCAAGTTACCAAACAGAAGACTGCATACATTGCGATCGCCCTCAGGTACATCGGAGAAAGTAGTCAGGAACCAGGTAGACTACATTATAATCAATGAAAGATACCGTAATGCTCTTAAAGCTGTGAAAGCATATCCTGGATCAGACGTGGCCTTAGATCACAATCCACTTATCCCCAAGATTATACTTACCCTTAAAAATATTAAAAAACCTCAAAGAATCCCTACAATAGACAAAAGACCACTTAAAGAACCCAAAGTGAAAGAATGCCTCCAACATGAACTGCAGCAAATTGAACACAAACACCAATGATAGTGACGAGTAATGGAATCGACTAAAACATTGTTTACTGGAACCCTGTAAAGAAATACTAAAGACTTCCGCAAGGAGAAAAGAAGACTGGATGAATGACAAAATACTCAATATGATCAAACAACGGAGACAATTTAAAAACAAAGACAGCGATAAATACAGAGAGATAAACCACGAGATCAGGAAGATGATAAAGCAGGCAAAAGAAAAATATTTTGAAGAGAAATGCAAAGAAATCGAAGACCTTCAAAATAAATATGATCTGTTTAACTTACACAAGAAAGTTAAAGAACTGGCAGGACTAAGAAAACAAAATCCCACTCGTGCAATTCTGGATAGACACGGCACTACTACAACACATAAGGACGAGAAGGTACAAAGATGGGCAGAATATATCGACGAATTGTTCGATGATTAAAGGGGAGATCTGGAGCACATAGAACTTACGTCAAAAGAAATGGTAAAAAAAAGAAAAAATATTACACGCATTAAAAACAATGCGCGTGGGAGAAGCCCTGGCCCTAACATGCATCGATTCAAGACAAAGAGTGGTTAACGTCGATTTTTATTTGTCTCCCCAAGAAAAACGCAAGAAAATGCAGCGATTACCGCACCATTAGCTTGATGTATAATCAGCTAAAGTTACTACTAAAAGTCATCCATAACCGAATATATCATAAACTCGACATAGACGTTAATGATACACAATTTGGCTTTCGCAAAGGCCTGGGAACGCGTGAAGCTGGCCGGATCACACTGTGATCTTGGCCGAAAATATTGAAGATCTTCAACTTGACCAGAATAGAGGAGTATGGAAAAGAGTATGGTCTAACAATGAATGTCAAGAAGACGAAATTTATGAGAATATCGAAAACTCAAAGAAATAACGAGAATCTTCTAATAAACAGAACCAACAAACAAGTGGACAAATATGCATATCTGGGAACAATGATTAACCCCACAAATGATTACATTCAGAAGATCAAAATCAGAACAGAAAAGGCTAGAGCAAATTTCAACAAAATAAGAAGAGTGCTATATACAAAGGATTTAAAATTGGAACTAAGAGTTAGGTTGGGGAGGTGAAAACTGAAAACTGGAATCATTCGAGCTGTGGGTGCATAGAAGAATTCTGAAAATATCGTGGACAGAACACGTCACAAACTAAGAGGTTATGAGAAAGATCCAATAAAATAGAAGCATAAGGAGGCGTAGAATGTCATGGCTGTGCAACCTGAGATAGTGGTACGGATGTACACCAAATGAACCTTGCTTAGTTAGGATCGCAACCGATGTCGTCATAGTCGCTGTTAACTTGTCACCACAGGATCGGTCTTCTTTCTCGAGTATGGATTCGTGTATCTCCATTGCTATCGCCTCGATTGTGACATGCGAGGTGTCATTGCGACAGAATTAAACGAATGGAATACGATGACAAAGAGCAATTAAACAAGACGTTGTATCAAGAATACCTTTGAGCTTCTAAACAGCTTAACACGCACGGGAACATACGAGGTGTCACATGATAGGATTTAACGGGTAGAATAAAGATAGAAAAATCAAACAAGGGACCTTAGGTATATCTTCGTTTCCATTGGTCCAATTTGATGTAGAACGCGATATTTGACCTAGAACGTAACAATTTAAATGACATATAAAAGACAAGTTATTTCATCATAAAATTAATTCAGAGATTTTAAATCGTCTTTTATGGAGAATATTACAAAAGCCGCATGCAGTATATTGTTAAGATCATAATAATATGCAACGCCTGAGCTTTTGGCAGCATCTAAATAATCTATAATATGACTGATTTGATATACTTCGTCGAGAATAATGAGAGTGTGGAATTAGGCAGCACGAATTTGGTTATTGTTAGATAATTACTACCTTTGTCGCCAACTCTCTTCATTCTGGTCGAACTCTTCTAAAAGATATTGATGTGTGCGTTCATATAATTTGACAGGTTATGTGCAAGAACCAATAATTTTATTTTTAATCATTTTTAACAACAATTTTTGACACTGTTATAATTAAAACAACTAATTAAGTCACATTTTTTTAAATCTGTTATAGTATACATCTATTCTGATTATGCAAATATGAAACCAATACCACCTATATAAATTTTTTCACTG